GCCCTCCTCACCGAGCTCCCTGTCTAGTGGGGAGGGGGTAGGAGGCAAGCAAATAAGTAACACAGCTTCAGACTGTGATCGGTAAGCAGGGCTGAGAGGAAGGGTGGGGTCCCACTTCAGGGATGACCCCCAAGCAGGGCTTCCCTGAAAAGATGCACAGGGGCCTCTGGGGCCAGGGGAGAGAACAGCATTCCTGGCGGAGGGAACAGTACACACAAAGGCTTCTTTGCCCGCTTGAGGCTCTTGTGGGGGGAGGGGGAGAGGGGAGGCGGGACAGGGGCAGGTGGGGTGTCTGAGAGCTGCAGGGCCAGATCACACCGGTGAAGCTCCGGTGGTGAGGGAAGTGTCTGGATATCATCAAAGTGCCATGGGAGCGCTGACAGGTAGAGATCGGGCACCAATCCCAGCCTCGCAGCGCATGAGCCGGGGCCTGTCTGTTCCTCACGTTTTATCTGCCATGAGAGGGGGGTGATTTTCACAGATTCTTCATTTGCCCAGAGGTGTGGGAAGGGGAGTGTGCGATGCCTCACAGACAGCCTGTGGACTGGAAATGACAAAACACACAACCTCCCAAACACCACCCTTGCTCCCGGAAGCTGGCCCGTGGAGTGAGGGGGGTCAGGGGACCTCACAGCAGGGGGTTCCCTGGAGAACCCAGAATCTACAGATTGGCTTCCACACTCTGGACATGTCCCGTTTCTGCCGTCACAGGCGACCTTGGTCTCCTAGTGTCGTGGTATCACTGGTGGCTGAGGAATAGGAATTGGCTTCCTCACGCGATTGGCCGGGTTGCCAGGAGCTGGGGAAGCTTGTTAAGAGCTTCGATACTCAAAAAAAAAAAAAAAAGTATAAATTAAATTTTTATTGAGTTTAATGTAAGATGTTTTAAAAAAATCAATGCTTCCGTATCTTAAATCTTTTCCTCACTTTCCATGAGCCGGATAAATCCAGCCCTTCCTCCTAATAACAAGAACTCCTCGGGGAGGGCTGGGACTTTCCGTCCGCTAGGCACTTCCTGTTGTCCAAACGATACGATTAAAACAACCACTCTCTGACCCAGGACAAGTGGTTGAGAACCTGTCCCCTTTCCTTGTTTCTCGGCCTGGGGGAGCCTTCCCTCTGGGCCTCTGCCAGGCCCATCTGTTTTGTGCAGGCCCGTGATTGGGGCAGGAGCTGGCTCCTTTTCTCCTGGGAGGAGACGGGGGTGGTGGTGACACGGGAAACTCTGCTTGTCAGTGTCTACCCCCAGCGTCCAAGTGGTCACTGGCCCACGGAACTCCAATGTGGCTGAACACCTGGACAGAAACACCGCCTATGTGACCACAGAGCATCAGACCTGGCTGTCCCCAAGGGCCCCCACCTGCAGGGCGTCAGAGCTGGGCCACTTCCTCCTCCACCCCAGGAACGGCCTCAGTGCTGCCGACGCCCTCGGCCAGGTCAGCCGGCGTGGAAGCCCCCTTCCTCCCCACCCGCTTCCCCTGCACGCTCTTCTGGTCCCACCGTCCAATGTGAAGGCTGTGAGAGTGGAGCCACGCCCCCCAGAGTGGAGCCACGCCCCCCAGGGTCACGGAGAAGAGATCTGCAGGAAACGCTGAGCCCGCCTTCTGACTGCACCGCTGTGGGAGGATCACTGTGTAGGTCCCCCCGAGGGGACCATCCAGATGTGCTTCGATTTGCCCTCTCCCACCAGCCGCTGTGACATCCACTAACCACTCCTCGTGGGCCCTACCTGTGCCAGGCTCTGGGGGACACAACAGCGGTGAGACACGCCCAGAGGCAGGGGAGCAGGCCCTGCGTGGTGACCTTCCCCCGGGGGCGGGCGGGGTTCCAGTGGCCACCACCAGGTTTGTCAGCTCACTAATCTGTGCTGGGTGGCTCAGTGCAGCCAGTGATGTGGAGGAGGGGGAGGTGCTGGGCTTGCGCGGTTCTGGGACAGTGGTCAGTGGGGAGGTGCTGAAAGGACAGCTCCTGGCTTGGCCACTGCAGTGCTGGATGCCGGCCTCCTGCCCCACAATCTGGGTGAAAGCCGCCTCCTCAAAGTGGACACAGGCTTCTGAATTTTTCCACTCCTCTTCTCTGGAGCCTCAGTGCTGTCTTGGCAAACATGGCTTGAGCCTGAAAGCTTTTCCCATCTATTTTTAAATAAATGGGATTCCTGTCATTTGCATGAAATTCATCCCAACTGAGGGTTTGCTTCGCCTGAGTTGCAGGGGTGGGGGTTGGGGTACCGGTGACTAGATTGCTGACAACGCACAGTCCATGGTGTGCATGACACAGAATGGAAAACAAATGATCAATGAGACAGCTCATTGAAAGGACATCCTAAACAGAGGAAGCAGAGATGTTCAAATCTTGATGCAGGACGTGCCTTCCAGAACCTACGAAGCGCCATTTGTGGACAAGAGAACAGAGGGCCTAGGACGTGAGGCCCGCCCGCATCTGAGCAGGTTCCCCTGCCAGCCTGGCTGTCATAGTTCCCAGTTCCTGCTGGAGGGGCCTCCCCTCCCCGCAGGGGCATTGTGTCTTCATGGGCCCACTTCATTCTCACATCAAAAAACCCCAAGAAGGGGCTCCCTTGGGAGGGACAGGCCCAGCTCGGGGGACCTCACCGTCTGGGCTTCCCCTTCACAGGGTGGAGGTGGCCCCTCCCCGCTAGAGTTTGCACATTTGTTGAGTCCTCTGAAGACTGTGGGATCCTCCTTGGTCAATCTGCAGAGGTCACTGGCACAGTCAGCTAGACACCCCCCCCTCCATGGGTCCAGCTGTGTGGAGAATGCTGGTGCGCCTCCTTTTGCAACCCAGGCCCTCCCCCTCCCCTTGAACTGACCTTGTCGGAGCCTCCTTCCTCAGCCTGGGCTCAGCAGGGGTGCATGCACTTGAAAAAGGGCAGCCACTGGGGGTCACAGCTAACGACTGGGCATGGAGGCAGGGAGTGGGGTCAGGACTGAGGCCCCTGGGATGTGCCCGTGTGCACAGAGGTGTGTGGCACAGGCTGCAGTCCATCCCCAGCACCCTAAATGACTCACAAACCAGCACTGGGCCTACATGGATCATTGTTTTCTGTTTAACTGAAAAAACGAAGGCCACGCGGCCACTCGCTTCAGGAACCTAAAGGCAGGGGTGGCCCTACTTTATGAGCAGAGGCACTGATGAGGACAGTGCCAGCTAAAAGGGGCCTTTCCCTGGGTGAACCCCACATGTGGGGCAAATGTGAGAAGAGGCTGAAAGTGGTCAGGTGAGGAACTCAGGTGCAGAGGGGGCTCCGGTGGGAGCATGGCGGGGCGCTGACAGCACGAGTGAGCAGGGGCCCTTCAGGGGCTGAAGGACAAGTCCTTGTGGTCTCCCAGCAGCAGGTTCCAGAGGGAATCCCCAGGACACCCCTGTTCCCTGACTGGGAAGGCCACCTCTGCCCACTCCCCAAGGGGACAGTCCACCATCTGTGTCTAGAGCCTGCCCTCCTTTATCCTGGGCTGTGGCACCAGTGTCCCCACTGGCCTCGGGCCTGGGTCTTGTCCTGGGGTCCACCCTCCAACCTCCTGCCCCTGCTGCAGGCCCCTTCGGGGGTCTGCAGACAAAGCCCGGGCCTCCAGGTTGAGTCAGGCCTCATCTCTCTGACTACCTAGTCCCACTTCCTGCGGAGGATGGGGTGGGGGGTGGGGGGGTGCCTCTCCTTTGCCTCTTCTCCCCAGACGCCTCCTGCACACCCAAAGGTGGGGAGTGGGGCTTATGTGGGGTCCACCTAGAGAGGCTGCGAGCGTAAGACCCCCGTGGGCCGGGCCACACACAGCCGAGAGCCTGTACCTCCCACGCCCTGCTCGGAGGTGTTCAGTCTCGGTCTCCCGGCGCCGGGGTCGCTCAGGCGCGTGCTTGCCTGGTCCTGGTCACCTCGCTGTTGACCGAGGGGCCGCGTCCCTCGTCAGGGCGCACGTGGCCGGGGGGACGGGAGCGGGTCGGCCGGGTGGCGGGGCCCCTCTCGCTTCCCGCCCCTCCCGCGGCCGGCGCGGCGCCGCAGGGGTTAACGGGGGGCGGGGCGCGGCGGCGGGCGGAGC